TATAAACAATTACCACCACCACCAACAATCAACACAAGAAAATAGGTGAGATAGAACACCTGTCGCGCAATCGTACCTCAACACACGGATCTGAAAGTGCATCATCTTGAACAGGGGAAGCGACGGTGTTTCTATGTGCGGAAAGAGAGAGACAACAGCGCCTTCTCTTATATTCTTAATGAAAACTAGTTCAGACCGTAAATTTCTCTCTCTTCCATATTTATCTTCTCTTGCTTTCTATTTAGAGCAAGAGCCATGAATATAATTTTCCCACTATTCATTTATTTTTTCTTGCTTTCATTTTCTTTTCACTCTGAACCAATCATTCTGTAAACTTTTTATTAACATGGAAATGTGCTTTCTAAAGCTCATGAGATCAGGATTACCAAACAAGATATGGGAATAATTGTATTGGTTTGCCCACCTTTATTCTCTTCTTTTCTCGGATTCTGTTTGTGATGATAAAATTGGCATCACATACTCGATATATACTGTTACGCTTGTCAAATTGTGAGAATTTAGAGTTAACTAATGACGTCGCAAACTTCATTTAAATTTATATCCACGTATATCATCAGTTCTTTATTGGCTTCTTACCTACATCTGCCACTTGCCATCTAGTGTTGACAATTAAGAATGTTATTTTTAATAGTCTTTTTGTTAAGGTATTGATTGTGACCAATACTTGGTTAATTTTTGACAAATTAATAATGTGTGAGCCAAAAATTGTGACTGTGACTCACATTTTATTAAATTATAATCGAGTTGTGACCAATAAAAGTAATCTGTGACGTATAATTTGATGTTTTGTGACCATAAAATAAGTTGTAATGGACGTGGGTGTCCGTGACCAATTATTTGGTTGATTGTAACCAATAATTGTGTAATTTTTGACAAATTAATAATGTGTGACCTAAAAATTGTGACTGTGACCCAACCTTAAGAGTCTCTCATCGCCCTGCCCCTAGAGTATTGTGGATGAGGTAAATCGCGGGATGTACCTCAATAGGCCATGGTACAAGAGCTGCCTACTGATGCCCACAAAGAGTCCAATTTCATACCTTGTAAGATGTAGGAATCGAACCCTCACACTGCGGTTGCCAGCTCAGTTGAGACTACCCAACTCCTATCCTTTGCACCATTGAATTATATCCCGGGAGACACTTATTCTACATATATATGTGCATATGAATGGATGATCTCTTGCATAACTGGAACAAGTTAGGGAAGTTCATTTGCAAATCTTTTGTATATGCTTCTTTCATTATTTTACTTTATTTTTAGTTTTGGGCAAAAATGCTGAAAAACTCGTAAAAATAGTGTTCGACTTACCGATTTCTAATCAAACTGGTCATTTTATCTATTTTTACTGATTTTTGTATTACTGGATATCTGGATACAATTGAATCGATCGCTGGACAAATTCACGAATTTTTCGATCGAACCGACCAGCTCAATCTAATTTTCAAAATATTGTTATAAACACATAGAAATGNCTCAATCTAATTTTCAAAATATTGTTATAAACACATAGAAATGAATTAAAGATAAGTGTGTAGTACTTTTAAATCCCTTAAATATGTGGATATAAATTTATTTGACTTTAAACAACTGTTTACAAACAATTGATAACCATAATAAGTAAAAATAAACCCTAAACGATAAGTCTTGTATTGACACATTTATTGTCTATGTTAAGATCAAAATTTGTTAACTTCTATCTTGAGAAGTGAGGAATATCTTATTGAACTGATCTGGAACATCTTAAAGCAAAAGCACCTATTAATTTTTTTATCTACCATATTAAAAGCAACGACCTAGACTACGTTTTATAGAGTCGATAAGAACTGTTTACATGAACTTCAATAAGCCACATTCATGTATATGTTCTTCAATATATGCAACTCCTTGAATATATCAATGAATTTAATAAATATTACGTGTAATGAATGAATCCAAGGAAATACAAATTATGTTATCCAATGAAATTGAAGAGTTCAATTAGTGGTGACAATGGACCGCTTATTCATGTATGTTCTTCAATAGATGCAACTCCTTAAATACATCAATGAATTTAATAAATATTACGTGTAATGAATGAATATAAGGAAATACAAATTATATTATCCAATGAAATTGAAGAGTTCAGTTAGTGGTGGCAATGGGTTGGTTCGAGCCTGCTCGGCCCATCTACCCACGGGCTCGTTGGTTTTTTTTTTTTTAGTTTTTTTTCACATATTTTTTACGAGCCCATGGGCTTGGCTCGTGGGCAAGACAACGAGCTCGTCCACGAGCGTTCGTCTTCAAAATGAGCCTAGTCCGTCTTTTTGACGAGCCCCAGCGGCTCGTGACTCGTTTTTGACGAGCCGACGAGCCGCTCGGCTCAGTTGCCACTCCTAAGTTCAATGAACTGGTTTAGTACATGCACAAATGTGTCGATTGATCGAATTAAATTTAAATAAGGAGTCGGTAGGAATATTTCAAATTTAATTTAGATAAAATCGTCCATAAATGATTATCATTTCAATTATCATGGGACTTTTAATATATCAAAGAAAGTAATAATCAGATAAATTTGGTGAATTTGAAAGGGTTCACGATGATTCCGACTACTTTATGAAGCACAAAAATTCTATGCATAAACTTGAAGAAACAAAAAAATTGCTTATTGAAGGAAAATGTTCTTATTCTGACTTGCGGAGCATCCGAGTTCAATCATGTGAATGGTAAAAGATTAAGATTGTGTGCACGGTTTCACTCATCATCAGTAAATAAAAAATGCTAACACAAGGAAAGTTATTAGTTGCTTTTGATGTTTGTTATCTTTTATTTTTGGTTGTATAATAGATTTTTTAGTTGTGTTCAAGAAATCATCGTAATACCTACAAAGTTTGTTATCTTCTTCTGCGGTGAATTATTTACCAGTGGGATGAGGACTATGAATGTTTTCCTTAGAAAGTTACTATTGCATGTTTCATGTTCGAATTTACTATCGCTACAATATTTTGATATTTTGGTTATTTAATCAAAAGTCTGGTAACTGTTGACAATAATTAATTATAATTAATACTGAATAGTAATAAAATTCCTAAAAGGAAAAATTGCAACAATGGTCCCTACCCTTTGAATATCCTAACCTTCAATTTTACCATTAGGTGACCCAAAAAATTGACTTAGACTAACTTTAAAAGGAGTACAAATTTAGGGTGTGTTTAAGCCACGTTATTTTGGAAGAATGTATTTTGAAATTGTTGATTGATGGAGAATGTGTGGTTGAAAAGGAATGAAAAGTTATTGATGTGATGAAAAATATTATTTTATTAAAAAATATGTGGTTAAAAATGAGTAAAAGAATGAAAATGAGAATTTTAATGTGACTCAAACACGAGTTTTAAAATATCATGTAATTAACAAAACACCAACCCGCACGCACCCCTCCTTGCGTTCACCTAGCCGTACCAAATCAACCCAACGCTCCACCTCCGGCACCACTGCCCCTGCTGGCCTTCCCCACCCATTTAATCTCCTTTCCCAACCCTAGCCCCTACAATAGGGGTGTAGGTAGGGTTTTCAAAACAAAACCCAAAAATTAGAAAGATGCAGTTTATTCCTATGAAAATATCCATATCCTGAATAGATTATATCTAGGGGAAAATAAATTGAATTGAGTTAAATTAGGAATGCAGTCTAGACAGTAGCTTTGATTCAGCTAATAGTTTGACTCTTTTCTTCTTAAGCCAAATTTGTTACGAGATGCTCAACGTCTACTAGCAATCGTCTCCTAAATACAACAATAACGTTTCATAATAACAACACTACCAATTATGAGAAGAGCAAACAGCATAATGTCTCATATTATCTATTTAGAAAAATGGACTAATAATGTATGCAGACGTGTCTACTCTCTATCGTGCAATAGCTGCATCAGATCGTTTGACTAATTTTGCTGTCCCGTTTGTGCCAGCCAAACCCCTGGTCTAAAAGCTTAAACTAATAGACATCTAAATTATACGCCAAATTTATTATTCTTTTCATCAAAAGCCTGACTACCAATGCACAATTTAAAGTACGCGCCTTCACATTCATTTTCCAGCTTAAAATCATCTTCAGTGTGCGTGACACATGATTAAAATATAAGAAAGAATCAACAAGCATGCTTCGTTTTTACACATTTACATTGGTATGCAATTAGGCAAGCCCACAAGGCCATACAGGGGCTAAAAATACAGAACGTTTCCCTCCTTTGTACTCTTCCTCTGCTCAATGCACATGAAACTCGTCAAGCATAACTCTCTTGACTTTTAGCCGATAGTCGCTTGAGAAACTCGTACGTTGTGATCATAGTTGTTGCAGACATAGACATTGAAGACTGGATTCTTTTCTCTCTTAGTTCAATTTGCACGTGTATATATATACCCATTGTACAAAGAAAATAATAACAAAAACTCTCTGAAGGCTTCGTCCTCCTCTCCAGTGCTCTGTTACTCTACTATTTTTCTTCCATTCTCTCTTTGATTGTGATATTTTACATCTACTAGCAATCGTCTCCTAAATACAACAATCACGATTCATAATAACAACACTACCAATTATGAGAAAAGCAAACAGCATAATGTAAATTATGTCGATCGTGCAATAGCTGCATTAGATCGTTTGACTAATTTTGCTGTCCCGTTTGTGCCAGCCAAACCCCCTGGTCTAAAAGCTTAAACTAATAGACATCTAAATTATACGCCAAACTTATTTTTCTTTTCATCGAAAGCCTGACTACCAATGCAAAATTTAAAGTAAGCGCCTTCACACTCATTTTCCAGCTTAAAATCATCTTCAGTGTGCGTGATACAAGATTAAAATATAAGAAAGAATCAACAAGCATACTACGTTTTTACACATTTACATTGGTATGCAATTAGGCAAGCCCACAAGGCCAAACAGGGGCTAAAAATACAGAACGTTTCCCTCCTTTGTACTCTTCCTCTGCTCAATGCACATGAAACTCGTCAAGCATAACTCTCTTGACTTTTAGCCGATAGTCGCTTGAGAAACTCGTACGTTGTGATCATGGTTGTTGCAGACATAGACATTGAAGCCCACCTAGGACCTAAACCTCTGTAACAAGCACTTACTCCACCTTCTTTAACCAAGTTCCTCACTGTCTGTAAAATAGTTGGCGCTCGAACACTCCCTCTTCCCTCTCCATCCAAAACCTGCAACCTCGTCTTGATTGTGTCGAGAGGCATTGTAACCAAAGCCGATACCCCACTAGCGAATGAAGCACTGAACCCCTGAACTGCCACCATTGCCTTCCCATCCGGCCTATAACCACTCTCATTTTTCTTGCAGCAATAACAACCTACGCAGCCCCAAATCAATCTATGAGCGATAGAGTAAGAAGCCCACCACACAGCATTGGAAGGTGCATAAGTCAATATTGATATCCCAAAACCCCTATACAATCCCCTCACTCCGTCAGCATATATAATCTTTTTAAATGCATCAATCCCACCATTATATGTTTTTGAGCCAACTGAACAACTACTGGCTTTACAACCACCAGTACCACCTTGAACCATCAGTCTCTGGCTCACAACATCGATAGGTGTCCAAACCAATTGTGCAGCCATTGCTGCACTTAGGCCTGCAGCAGCATTAGCAATAGCAGAGGCCGAGGCCGAGGATAATCCCAACCGACCAGTAGCAAGATTGCCTACATTACCCTTTGTCACTTCAAGAGCCCCCATGTAAAGGGCACGTGCAGGAATCGTTCCCATAAGGGAAGTCCCGAATCCCCTGTAAAATCCTCTGTATCCCTCGAATTTTAAAATGGAGCTCGCCATTTTCAGTGATGAAATCTCATTCAACATCACTTGCTGGCGCGTTTTCAACACCACTATTGGATAAAGTGTGCCTGAAACGCCTGAAAATAGTGCTGCCCCGAGGAAGAAAAACTTGGATTTATCCAACATCTCCCAATCTATATCAGCGGGAAGATGAATTTCCGGAGCTGAATCTTCCTCAGCCGCACTTAAACTCATTTTCGCCACTTTCAATTTCTCCAAAACAGAAACCCTCAAATCAAACTAAGCAGCTCAAAAAATCTAATCCAATCCCCCTAACTGTCTTTCTTCAGCATCTATTATCTCAAATGCCTAAAATGCGTACAAATATTTAGGTAAATGCATGCAAAATATCTGATTTTCCGAAAGAAAAAAATGGAAACTCTAAAAAAATAAATTAAACCAAACCTTTGTCCTAATTTCCCGAGTCTTTAAGGGTTGAGCTTAAAGGTCTAGAATAATCACAAAATTGTTCATATGGGTGTGTATTTATGAATCTATTCGAGAGTAAGAACAAGACGGTTAATACTTTTTGCGTTTTCGCAAACAGATTAAAGAGCGAAAATGAGTCAGCACAAAAAAATCCAGCATTTCCTCGCCAGAAATTTCAAGCTGGTCATTTGGAAACAAGAAATGATTCAGATAATGTAATCCGAGAGCTGGGTATTTTGCAGATTCATATATAGAGAAAATTTCAAGAAAAATACTGGAGATTTCTTGAAATAACTGAAAGTGAAACTGGGAAGCGTGGCGCACCGAATTCTGTGTAACAAAAGGTTGATCAATGGATTTAGACTTCGAGGGTTCCTTGGCCGGATATGGACAATTGTAGATTGTTTTATTTGGGAAATTTTCTTGGGATTCGATGTGGATTAGAGTTTAGAAATCGGGCGGTTACAAAAGGCTGGCTGGTACAGTGAATAGTGGGTGTGCGCCCTTTGATTGATTGATAAAACCTGTGGGTAATAAGGCTATCAGACCAATGGGCTCATCATTTTTTTTTTCTTTGGGCATTAGTGGCCAATTGTTTCCTTCTATGTAATGGTATGTGTACAATTATACTCGACAATAATGATCGATAATATTGGTGTTATCAAAATTCGGGTAGTGATTAAATTTTTTTTTTTTTGAAATTGACGAATTTGATGTTGTCAAGTGCGAATTGCCAACTATTATTGTCAGACTAAATTAGACATGTAGCTTGATTCATAATATAATGGTATGGTATGTTTGATATGCTGTACAAGAATGTAGACTCCATCTGATTTTGAGGCAGTTCTTGCTTAGATTGGGCTAACCCTAGATTAAGCTTTCGACACGACTTGATTTTAGGTGTCATGAATCAAGCTAAAGTTTAAATTGAACTTTCGTTTGGATCAAGCAAGGTCTAGACGATGCTTTTGACGTTTTAAGTGGCTCAATGAATTTCGAACCTCTAGCTATGATGGAATGTAAGAATTAAGGATGAATAAAGAGGTTCAAATCTCGACCATTAATTTCCTCTTTCTTTAGATATTAAAAAGAAAACTACTAGTATGTTCCCTCATTCTACACCAAGTACTCAATGGAAAATATAGATTTGATGTACAAGTAAAGCATCATATTAAAGATACATGAATCAGATTTTTTGAGAAATGTATCAAGAGAGAATTTGACGGTCATCGGTGAAAGATTCCTCAAAAATTAAAAATTAACAATTACAAATAGATAATTTTTTTAAAAACCATACTAGACAATTAAAATTAATAACACAACTAGACAATTGTTGTCAAGACTTTGGACCAAATTAAAATTTGCTTGAAGGTTCAAAAATTCTCCTTTCCATACAATACATTATTCCCGTTAATTTAATTTTAGAGCCAATTTGATAATCATTATTGTAGAAAAAAGAGTTGAATAGTGATTTTTAGGAGAATATGTGGTTAAAAAGTAGAAATTTTTTTAAGTATACGTATAGAATATTTTATTGTGTGAATGTGTGGTTGAAAATGATCCCATAGTAAATCATAAAATAAATTAATGGGTGTCAAACAAGTACTTAATCGACAGATTGGGACCCGATACCAATCAAAACATTCATTATTTCAATTAAACCATTTTCCAGAAAAAAAAATTGACACTTTTATTGATATCCTCTCACATAATATAGAAATTATTGATGAGAACTCTATCTTCTAGGGGACAACTCTTCGTTACGCTACTAATATACATTAACTTTTTATAAATTAATTGGGGTAGAATTATGCTGTGCATACGTAAGTTGTTCTTACTTTGTGTTTATATAGTATTAGAATTTTCCATATATAACCAGGGCCACATTGGAATTAGACATGCAGGTTTTAATGTAGTAACCACACGATCATTTTAATTAGCACAGAAGAGACTAAATCAAAATTATGGTTTACATCAAAGAATTCTTTTACTCAATGCAACTAATTCATTACGTACATATAGTACACCGAATTGAATAAGATTAATTAATGCAACTAATTCTTTTACTTAATCATGTCTCGAATTTGTGTTCTTAAGTATCTCTCAACCAAAATGGCACCCGAGCTTGGTGAACACAAAATTTAAATAAATAATATTGTCGCCTTGTAAACATTTAAATTTTTAAACGAACCCATGTCACATAGTATCAAGCAATGCGATTATTTATTTATGAAAATTGCGAGTACGTAGGCTTTCAATGAAAAAAATAAATTAGCTTAAAATACGAGATGTTTTGAAAGTAAAATCGAAATTAAATAATTTATGCACTTTCTAATAAATAAAATTTTTAGACGACAAAGTTGAAAAGGTGAACCCAAAAGTGCTAACAAAAAGACCACTTTTGCTGGACACAAGCAGCACCATAGAACGTGGATTCCGGTCTACTCAATCTTATCCCCTTTAGTATATTTCAACCTATTTAATCCAACGTTGTGCAAGTATTCAATTGTCGCCACTGTCTGAATTTTTGTACATGTCGGTTACATTCATTTTTAACAAAGGTTTCATTGGATTGAAAAATCGTTCGTACTTCGATTATAGTATAATATGGAGCACTTGAACGAGTCAATAGTTTATCACGAAAAGCACACGACGAAATGTGTGATCAAATTTAGCCCCGAAAGACGGTTTAAATGGTAAAACCAAAGAGCCTATGACGAGTCAATAGTAACAATGTTACAGGAGTAAGTCGTAACCACAAAATCTCAAAACCGAGTGGCCAATGCCGCCCTCATTAGCTTACTTGTCTATTATGAACATCATCAACTTTGTGAACATACGCTGTTTTCGTACAAAATTCTACAAGATAATTCAATTATGCATGTACCTGGAAGCACTAGTTTTTGGTAACAAGTCAAGCCACTAGTAGTGGATGGGAAAAATGATATTATTTTCAATTTTGAAGACTGCGTGAGGCTGCTAGGAATGTCATGGAAAGTTATTTCTAGTCTGCTGAATTGGAACATTCTTTTCACACTTCCATTCTGGTTTTCTGCATATTATTCTTTGGCATCGACATGTTTAATATATTCGTTGGATTGGACACTACTGGACAGTTTGTCCAATTCCAGTACAGTGCTGTCTAGTCGAACATCTGCCTCATATTCCTGAACTTGGAAACGTGCTTCTGCTCGGCCTCGATGATTTTCTTAGCCTTCTTGTCGTCTTCATTATCAAGCAAATTTTATGGCTGAGTAAGAGAAGTGTCATGAGTCCAAGCCATACCAAGACTACAACCCTGGTGACACAACTAAGTGTCTCTTTCCCTTCTTTAGGTGTTAACACAATTATACATATAGTGTAAGTTAGTGCTATTGCTGTAATTGCTACCCAAGTAATCGCCATCAGTATCCACATGAATAATCTTCGACGTATAGGTAAACCACTCATTAGCAGCAATATGATGCTGAGAGATGCAATGAAGCCTGTCGTGTTGACAATCAAGAATCCTCTGTATCCTTGGGCAGAGCGAGTTGCATATATAGAAGTCCCCACCTTACTTGAATTTGAGACCAAGCCACCTTGTGAATCAGTTGTTTATAGGAAAAGAGACACTAAACCAAGAAAATGATTGTTCTGTTTGCTGAACAATATTCAACAAACCAGCAAACCAGGAACACGAGTTGAGATGAGAAGATAATGCTGAATAATAATTTCATTCATTCAATCTATATTTGTTACAATTATGAAGGTTCAATTGCAAATATATAGAACAAATTCTAATAAATCTATACAAGTGTCAAATAACCATTGGCAGATTTATTATACATAACTAACAATAACAAAATTGGAATCTACTCCTCTCCAGCAGGTGCGTCTGTTCCTTGTGGTGAATTTTCTGTTAATGAATCTTCTAGGCCCTTCTTGACTGTTCCTGCTTGCAACCTTCAACTTGTGACCAAGTGTAATCTTGAATTTCAATAGCCCCTCTCAAGGTGGAGAGTAGACGTCTTCTATTCCCATCTTGATCAAATGAGAATAGAAAACATTAGATGTGAGAGTCTTAGTCAGTATATCAGCTATTTGTTCACCAGTCCTAACCTGTTTCGTAACAATGCTTCCTTCCTATAGTTTTTCACGCACCAAATAACAATCTAACTTGATGTGCGTCATTCTTTCATGAAATACCGGATTAGCAGCTATGTGTAAGGCTTCTTGATTATCACAGAACAACTCTATCAGCTGTAAATGAAACACCTACAGATCACCAAGTACATATTTTAGCCATGTGAATTCATAGCAAACAGCGGCCATAGCCCTGTATTCTGCTTCTGCTGAGGACATTGAGACTGTGCTTTGTTTATTGGATTTCCAAGATATGAAAGATGAACCAATGAACACACAATCTGGACACCTCCAATCTGAATCACTGTATGCCTTAACTTGTAAATTAGAAGATGAAGGAAACAATAGTCCTTGGCCTAATGATTTTCTGACATACCTAAGTACGTTAGGTGCATCATTCATATGTGGTACTCTAGGTAACTACATATATTGGCTCAACAAATTCACTGAATAAGATATATCAAGCCTGGTAATTGCTAAATAGACTCGAATTTTGACAATACATGATTGTCACTTGGTTGACAACCATGTTTTTACAATTAGCTTTACTGTTATTTGAAAGTATTTTTATCTATATACTCATTTTCAACCATACATGTACAAAATAAAATATTTTTTACGAAAATCTAAAATTTTTCCTATTTTTTAACTACATATTCTCCAAAATAAAAAAAAATTCTTCAAAACATATTATTTTTGGCCAAACAATGGCCATCAAACTGAGGTTATCTTTAGCTTCAACAAATCATAAATAGTCTCTCTTTGGTTAAAAAAAAATATAAAAAAATGATTAAAATTTAAACAAAATCAATAATTAATTTAATTTTACATTTCATATGATTCACAATTTTTTAAACACATATTTTCCATCAAAATTTACTAAATTTTAATTTTTATCTAACCCAAACAAGAGTCTCGATTTCTCTCATTTAGAGTGTGCTTGATGGATATTATTGAAAAAAGAATATATTTTAAATAGTGATATAAAATATATGGTAAAAAAATAAGAAAAATTTATTGATGTGATAAAAAATATTATTTTATTGAAAAATATGTGTTTAAAAATGAGTTTTGAAAAAATGTGTGTCAAACATGAGCTTAAATGAAATTTCATTCAGACGTGAGTAAATAAGTTAAATCATTCGTCATTACTTGATTCCAAAGAGTTAGCTGATATTAGTAAGGAATTTTTTTATGTAGAGATGATCTTAGGTTTAGATGATAGGGAAAACTTATTTATTATTCAATGACGTTATGATTCGTTTTTAATGCATTGACAAATGAAATTATAGTTGTAGAGTGAGGACTAAGGTATGCTATTTTAATAACTAGATACTAGTAAATTATTTAGACAATAAGTGAGGACCAATACTGCAATTTCCCTATGTTCCAAAAAATTTCAAAGAAAAAATCAACCTCTACTTCAACGGACACTGTGGTTCTTCAAAGTTCTGGACTCTTCTGTAGAAAAAAATATACATAACAGAACCTCCTAGAAACCTGTCCCTCCTCTTCTTTAACCTTCTGGAAACTTCTTTCTCCCTTCACCCTACTCATTTTATATAACCCCAAACGCCATTGTAATCATCACCAGCAAGGAAATCTTTCCAAGAAATCAACAAATCCAAATTACAGGTTTTACACTTCGAGAGAAAATGGATTTCAGGCTAATGGGATTCGACACCCCACTTTTCCACACCCTCCATCACCTAGTGGACGCAGCTGAGGATGGCGAGAACAAGTCCATGAGTGCACCAACAAGAACCTACGTCCGAGATGCCAAGGCCATGGCGGCAACACCGGCCGACATCAAAGAGTACCCGAATTCTTACGCCTTCATTGTCGACATGCCGGGATTGAAGTCCGGCGACATCAAAGTGCAGGTGGAGGA